AAAATAAGAGGAAAATGATTTTTTAGGCAAGCATTATTAAAATCTTGAAAGTTCACACAAACTTGAATTTATCCATTTTTTTAACTAAAATAATATTTGAGTACTTGCTTTTTTAATAAAGCTAGCTATAATAACCTTATTGACTTTAAATTTAATCTAAGGAATCAAGTCAGGATGAAAACGATGTTAAGCTTACTTGATAAGTTAAACACCTTTCTTAATAGCTAAATGATGCACAACAATTTTTAGATTAAGTCCGAACATCTCCTTATAAATTCAAGTAAAGACATCTCGGTATTCTATCAAAATATCGAGGTAAGCTTTTTTCTTTTCAATTGACATACAAGCATTAATAAAGATTGGACAAGGATCTTCATTAGTGCTAATGTTGACATCTTGTAGCTTATCAATTGTAGCTTGATTCCTTTCTTCAAATGGTGGAAGAGCTTTTTTAGCATCTTTTTCTAAAAATTTTTCATCAATTTTTTTTATAAACACATGATTAAAAGTAAAGATTTTCATATCTTCAAAGTCTCTCTCATTTGGAGGTGGAATCTACTTAGTTGTTACCACCTTATGCTTTCTAACCTTCAATGATTCACCAATAGTTACCACCCATTTGCTTTGTCTCTTCATTTAGGAAGGAATCTTACTATGAAAATCCTTAGACTTATCAATTGCAAGAGCTTTAGTTTTTAATTTATACTACACCTTTTTTAAGTTTGGATGTTTAAATCTTGCACGAATAGAAAGATGCTTTCTAATAAAAGTTTCAGTGTCCTTTTTCCTCATTTGATAAAAAAATTAACTTGTGAGAAAAATGCATACTCAGACCATCAAAGACTGAACCTCATGATGGTTATATACCCAAACAATAAAAACCTAATGACCTTGGTATCTCAACTAAATTTTCTTGCTCATCAAAAACTTATTCCACATTTATTTATCTTGAAGCTTGTTTGTGAATCTTCAATTTTAATGGAGAAGATCCAAGCCCAACTTTTGAAGTGTTGACTTGATTAGTCTTCTTTCACCAAACTTGTTGGATCTTGATTGAACTTTGAGAAATGTCTTCAGTTGGCTCATTTATTTCATGAACTAATTTTGAAATATCCTTTTACTTGTATCCAGCTTTAACAAGAAATTTGTAGGCATTAAGAGCAAAACCCTTAGCATGATGTATGGGTAAACTATCATGTTCAACAAGAGGTCCTTCTAATGGCCATGCAAATCTTTTACGTAAAGGTTTAAAAACCTTTAAGTCTTCCAAGCTAGTAGGAGGAAAAGTCAAATTCTTTAAAGCTTAAGTAATTTCATCATCTTTATTATTGGTAAAAGGACCTGTATTTTTTTCTTTTTGTTTTTACTCTTTCATATTGATATTCTGTTGATCTAGAAGTACTTTTTCTTTGAAAGCATTTTTCAAATAAAACTTAGCATCAACGAAATGTGCCTTTATTGTAGAAAATGGATTAGAATCTGCGACAACTATATTTACTTGACCATTTCTATGATACTTCAAACATTAGTGAAAAGTTAAAGAAACTACACCATTTTGATGTATCCATGGTTGCCCTAACAATATATTATATGTTGTCTTAGCATCAATCACATGTAATAATGGATTTGATTCCATGTCACAAAGAAAAAGTTAAAGTTTGACCTTCCTAAGAGCTCTTTGTCCTCCTTGAATCATCAAGTGATTTTGTGACAATTCATCCAAAGTGATTCCAAGTTCTTTCATTATCTTCAAGGGAAGTATGTTGACGGCAGATCCATCATTTATTAGGATCCTATTAATCCTTTGCTCTTGAATATATCCAACAACAAACAATGGTTGATTGTGAAGAGTAGATCTTAAAAATAAATCTTCATTAGAAAAATCAATCTTCGTAGCATAAGAATGACCAACTTTAAATGCTATCTTATCAATGTTGTTGTCATTATTTTTCACTTCTTCACCAATACGGTAACAAGTCATGGAAACCAAATTTTCTCTGCTGAATTGAATTGGCTTGCATTCATTCAAAGTCATTAGCTTTCTTGGCTTATTTGGTCTCAAGTTGTCATGCCTAAATGGAATTGCCTTTGTTTGGATCACCTTTGGTGTTGGCTTTCTAACTGGTTGCTTAACCATCTTAGCTTTTGTCGTCACTCGAACATGCTTTTATAGATTTATCTTTCAACCTTATTGACCCTATCATACTAATGCTAGTTGTTATGACATTTATTACTCCAGAATCTGTTTTTTTAAGGAAATGATGAAGTCAAGCTACTGTTTGCACTTGATCCATGAGGTGAAGTAGGCTTCTCATAAAAGATTCCTCTAATCATTGAAGATGAGTGTCAGAAAGTGGGTTTTGACTTAGCATTGGAATAGTTAAGCATAAATTTCTTCAAGAGCTTTTGTCTTGCTTCTAGTGCCTTCTGAGTGGGTAGCAACATCAGTGGTGATAAGCTAGGGAAGTTCTTTTGGCAGAGTTCTTTTTGGGATGTTAGCATGATTCAAGCTGCTCATATTGGTGTTGGGATTAATGGTCTTGAGGGGATGCAAGCAGTTATGGCTAGTGATTTTGCAATTGCCCAGTTTCGTTTTCTTAAAGATTTGCTTCTTGTGCATAATTGTTGGTCTTTTCTTAGATTATGCAAGGTTTGACTTTTCTATTCCTTAAGGGACATTTTAACATTTTTGGTTGGTGATATACAGAGGATTCATGTTACCTTTAGATTATGCAAGGTTACACTTTTTTCTGTCCTCCAAAGCATTTTTTAAATTTCTGGTTGGTGATATTCATGGCACCTCCTTTTGCAGGTTGTGACGTATTTCTTTTACAAGAATCTTACATTCACTTTAACTCAATTTTGGTTCACCTTCAATACCGGATTTTCTGGTCAAAGATTCTATGATGATTGGTTCCAGTCATTATATAATGTCATATTCACTGCGCTACCGGTGATTATTGTTGGGCTTTTTGACAAGGTACTCCAATCTTTCCATTTTATTCCAGATAGAGTCTTGTTCTGCCTGCTCTATGCTTGATTTATGCAAGACCTTGCTTTTTATCCAGGATGTCAGTTCATCCCTTTCAAAAAAGTACCCTGAATTATACAAGGAGGGAATAAGAAACATGTTTTTCAAGTGGGGAGTTGTTGCAATATGGGCCTTCTTTGCAGCCTATCAATCTCTAGTCTTCTTCTACTTCGATGCAGTTTCCAGTTCTACTAGTGAAGATTCTTCTGGTTAAATGTTTGGTCTTTGGGATGTCAGGACAATGGCCTCCACAGTGTAGTAGTAACTGTCAATTTGCGTCTTCTTATGATCTGTAATTCAATCACAAGGTGGCATTACATTAGTGTTGGAGGAAGCATTCTTGCGTGGTTCTTATTTATTTTTATATATTCTGGTGTTATGACTCCGTATGATCGACAGGTAAGTAATGAATCATGTTTCATTATCTTTCTCTCTTCATTTGGGTTGGAAGGATGCAACTTCTTGACTCTGTTGGCTACTGCAGGAGAACATCTTTTGGGTCATATATGCCTTGATGAGTAGATACATTCTATTTCTACGTCACTCTTCTTCTTGTTCCTGTTGCGGCACTTCTAGGGGATTTCCTTTACCTATGGTAAGAATGAGAAATAACTGGAAGTACTCCTTTGCTGCAATATATTTGATGCATCGAAAAGCTTGCTCATGCTCATTGACAGTGCGAGGGCTGTTAGGTGGGAATAGGTGTCCAACCATGAAAGTAAGTCATCGTTCTGGTTAACTAGCTTTGGTCTATTCCCACCTGAGCAACCAAATAGGAGCTACTTGAAACCTAAAATATGCTAAGAGGTCAAACCATCTGCCTAGTTTCCCGTGTGTTAAGAGTGAGCTGCTGAAATTGAAGCATATGATCATAGCATAATTTTTGGTAGTTTCATGCTTGGAGTTTTTGACATTATGCAAAGATTTTCGAGGGTTTTCTTTAAGGGGAGTTCTGAAGCAAGTTTCTTATAAGTGTACACCTTTCGATGGCACTGAAGTCACCTAGCCTGGTTTAAATGCTACTGCAGTAACATTGTCGTTCAAAAAATATTTTTTTATTTCCCTTTTTGATAGTCTAAACTTAGACAAAATCTGTAAAATTAGTCAATTTGCCGTGGTTCTTTGTTTTTATTTTTATTTTTATTTTTTGTTCCATTATCTACCCTCTTTTAGGAACCAAATTTTTTAGATCATGAATAAAAAATGATACATAAAGGTCATTGACTATCAGTGAATTTCACTATGAAATTGGTAATATTTTGTAACAGTAAAACTCATTGTTGTTGAAAAACTATAATGGTTATATTGTAAAAGTTGGAGATATAAGCCCTTTTAGTTGAAAATGGCCTCTTAAAAACTGAAACTAACCAATATATGTTGTCTTCAATTTGACATGGTAGTAAATCTTTTCTGGATGCTTTATATTTAGAGTTTATTTAAATAAACGATGAGATTAAAAATAATAATTAAACTAAAATTAATTATTATAATTATGAGATTAAAATTAATAATAAGATATATATTTAGATACAAATATAATAATCAAATTAAGATTAATTACAATGAAAAAAATAAATATAAATATTAAATTAAAATTTATATATAATAAAATTTTTAATTATAAAAAATAATAATATTTTATTTTTAATATAATAATAAAATTTATTATTTTATTATATAATAATATATTATTTTCATATTAAATTTAAAAAAGATATATTTTATAATTTTTTAAATTAAAAAAAAAAAAACACACGCACACAATTGCTTTGGGAGGGCAACAACTGCCTCAGAGATAAACATGATAAAAACACCCCTAATTGGCCACGAAGGGTTCCCTCTCCGGTAGTTAACTGAAGGTGCGGGGTGGTGACATGTCCTATCTTACGGCGCCGAAGGAAAGCCAAACGGGAGGGCAGTGTGATTGAGGCAAAAAAGTTGCCTTAACCGTGCCGCAGCGACCCATCCGGTGGCTTCCAAATGAAGCTTCGTCTACCACAACCACCAACAGCGTAGGAACATCCAACTGGACAGCAAAAGAAGAAAAGTGAAGGCAAAAACAAAGTAATTTCTGCTGCTTGATCGGCATTTTTCTTCCTTAATTTGGACTTGGATCTCTTCCATCCCTTCTTTTATTTCATAGCTGGATTGGTGAACTCCATCATCTTGTTCAAGAGAGCTAACAAACTTTGCTAATCTTTCTGACACAGACTGCTGGCTCTCATCCAGTGATTCTTCATCTCCTTCATAATCATCATCATTCTCAAAAACTAAATAAACCCCAGCCTTCTTCAGCTCTACCCCCTTAACATATGGCGGGTTTCGCTTTGTCACCTGAATCTTAAAGCCATCGTTTAACATAGAAACCAACGGACGATCTGCTGGATATCGACACAAGTGAACATGGTCTTCATTCGTCTTCGGTACCCCCAACAAGTCCAAGGTGGTGGAATGTATAGCTTTGTCTGTGTCACCTTTGAAGATCTTTGCTTGAATGTCCACTACAGCAGGTATTTGATATCTCAACTCATCTGGTATATGATGGTTAAGGGAAACAACTACAGCTATTATCACACCTTTCAAGTCAAGGTTTTTGTGGCTTGAAAAGGTAACTTCATCTTGAGAAAACCAATCTGGAATTTTGCTTCCTGGCATGCTTAGATTTCTGAGACTCTTGAGATAAACCTGCAATAAAATGTTGCCATACATCAATGCTGAGATTCCCGTAGCTATTTATCAGAGGGTTAATGTTCCTCAACTATAGTAAAATATAGATTTTAAAATTTTAAAATTTTTTATTATAATACCTAAATTATGAATCTATTAATTAATGTAATACTTGAAAAGTTATTTGTCAATTATATATCACTATTTGAAACTAATCATGTTAAAAATAAATATCATATTAATTAAAAAAAATCATAATTTAAATCCCAAATCAAAGATTTTTAAAATTTAATAATTCAGTTAAATATTTCATTATAATTCAAAATCAGTTCAAGACACTAACCCTTATATTAAAAGGTTATAAACAAACAATTTCTTGAAATTCAGTACATTATAGTCTAAAGAGAGAGATAGAGAGAGAAAAGGAAAAACCAACTTTGGAGAGTCTTTTCTTTGCTGAAGCAGAGCATTTAATGCAGTTGCTCAGGTACAACCTTCTCAAGGACTTCAAGGACTCAAGGCCTGGAATATCCACCAATTTCTCACAGTTTGTAAGGTTTAATGTTTCTAAGCTCTTTAAATTGGAAATATCAGATATACTTTCCAATGAAATACAGTTTGCAAGATTCAACTCCTCCAAACTTGAGGGAAGTGGAGGGAGGGACTCAAGCTTTTCACATTGGGGCAGCCTAAGCCTTTTAAGAAGCGAAAGGCCCCTTAGGCTGGATGGAAGTTTAGAAAAATCATTGCTACCCAGTTGCAGAGTCTCTAATGCTGACAACTTCTCAAAATCATCTGGAATTTCACCAGATATTCTCCATGCACGAGCGTCAAGTTCTTCTAGCGATGAGAGATTTGAGAAAGATGTTGGCAAGAGTACAAATGACTCGGATTTCTCTTTCTTTGCCATTTTCAGTACCATTAATCTTGAGAGCATGCCAAAGCTTTCTGGTATTTCGGTCACAGCAGTCTCCTCCATAAATAAATGATGCAAAGACTTCAAATTTCCTATTGAGGATGGAAGTTTACACAGCCTTTTACACTTGTTCAATCTTAACCTAATAAGATTTTCTAACAACCCAATAGACTCTGGCAACTCGGTAATATTGGCGTTGAATATGTTCAAATAAGTAAGAGCAAGCAGGCTCCCCATCGACTCTGGCAGAGACTCAAGAGAAGTACAATTCCTCATCTCAAGCTTCTGAAGTACTCTCAAGGCACCAATCTGGCTAGGCAGATCCCTAATTGAAATCCCATCCATGTCAAGTTCCACAAGAGAAGCCAATCCTTGAATTGAATCTGACAATTTGCCCAACTGCTTGCCTCCAACAAATAAGTACTTCAGATATGATAACGAACCAATACAATTTGGTAACTCACTGATTGCACCACCCTTAATCAGCAACTCTTTCAATAATTTGAGATTGCCAACAGTATCAGGAATTGCAGTGAGTGATTCACAAGAAATTAAACTAAGTGTTTCAAGGTTCTCCAAGAATCCAATAGAATCAGGCAAGTTTTCCAATGCAGATTGATTAAGATGAAGTTCCTTCAGAGAAACAATCTTCCCTACACATCGTGGCAGCTGTTTAATATGTATGCAACCACTTAGGCTCAGTTTTTCAAGTTTTTCAAGGCGATAAATAGATTCAGGCAGCTTCTCTATGCCAGTTTTGTCAACGTAAAGTTCTTTGAGTGATTTCATGCTGCCTATGCCCTTTGGTAATTCCTTCAATTTAGAGCAATCGCTGAGGACAAGGGTTTGAAGATTTTTCATCCCCGAGACGTCACTTGGAAATTCAACAAGGTTTGAACAGCCTGTCATGTCCAAGTGAAGTAAGGACTTTAAACTACCAACCGACTTGTGAATGTTTATCAGTTTCACACAATTCTGAAGAACAATCTTTTGCAGCTTTTTATGTCCAGATAAATCAGGAAGAGAAGCCAGATTGGAGCAACCACACAGGTTCATGACCATCAAGTTCTCAGCCACCTGCAACAAAACAAATTAAATATTCGATCGATGACAGAAAAGCCCAGTTTGTAGAATGAAAGCTTTCATAGATTTCTTTGCAGCCATAGTCTCATAGATAAAATAATTTTTCTGTGATAATCAGCAGCAATGTTGTGTTGTTGACAAGCATACATCATTTACCTTGTTAGAATAAGAGTTCCACACCCTTTCGATATTATTGCTTTCTGAGAGATCAAGCACAGCAAGCTGTTGGGGACAAAAATCAGAAGGAAGAGTTTTCAAAGCACATCCTTGCCATTGAAGCCACTTGAGTTCATGAGGAAGAAATTTAAATTTTCCTTCCACTTTCACATGATTGATCTGAAGCAGTCTTAGATTAACCATCGATTCAAAAGGTTTTGTAAAGATCACCACCTCTTTCCCATTGCTATTTATGACGTCCATCACAATACCCTCAATGCTTCTTGTTCCCTATTGTCAATTATGTGCGAAATTAAAAATGCCATGTCAGAGAGTTTAAAAAAAAATAGCCATCACTATAATAGCCATCACTATAATATTATTTAAGGGTTAAGGTTATATTAGGAGTTTTTTCAGTATAATTTTAATTTATTTAATTTTTAATTAAAAAATTACGAAATTGACATAAATTAATGAAAAATTGTCACTAACGGAAATATTCTGTTAAATATTTTAATTCCATTACTTTTTTGTTCACAACTTAATAAAATTGAATGTATAATGATAAAATTCAATAAAATTGAAGTATAAATAATAAAATTCAATACTAAACCAACAATAAAGAAAAAATGAACCTTAATCACTAATATCTACCCATATAATCATGAAGATACATGCGTAAAATGGGACAAAGAGATGAACATTTGAATCATCACCTCTTTCAGAGCAGTTATTCAAATTTGAAAACGTTCCACCTAGTTAAATACCTTGTATGTTCTTTTCTCATAAATACTTGCCCAAAAAAGTTTAGATAAATATGCATGTTGAGATTCATAATTAATTTCTACGTCAAGTTTCATAACTAGGACCAACAGATGAAGAAGGGGTTTTACACGGTCAAGGTTCAAATGAGATATCCTAAGTAATTAAAAAGGTGGGATGTAACTTAATAAAAACAAAAAAAGTGGGATGTAAACATGACATATTAAGATTCTGGATTCAATCAGTCTTCAATATGCATGTATGGATCCTTTGATGCATTGACATTTCTCCCATACTTTAAAATGATTATTTTATCCCTTAGGCTATAGTAAATAAAGAAAGAACTTAGTAGATAAAGAAAAAGCTGTTACCAAAGGCGGACGACAACCAGGTCAAAAAGGCGAGGGTAGAAGAGCATTCTCAAGAGGCACTAGCAATACAAACGGTGGAGGCTGGGTGCCAGCCCTACTGGCAGCCATGAAATGCTTGTCTTGGAACTACTGTGGGCTTTGGAAGCCATAGGCAATTCGAGCACTTCGGCATTTGCTGAAGACAGAAGATCATGATGTGGTTTTTTTATGGAACCAAAACTACATGCTCGGAGGATGGAATATATCAAAATGAAGTGTGGGATGAAAACATGTTTCAGTGTTGATGCAAAGGGAACTAAAGGGGGCTTAGCGATGCTTTGGAATGATGGGATACAACTACAACTGTTGAGCTTTCTGAAAGACCATATTGACATGGACGTTAGGGAAGATGGCGATACACAAGAATGGAGGCTGACAAGCTTTTATGGAGAACCTGAAACTAGATGGAGGGGGCAAGCTTGGAATATTATGAGTAATTGGGCAACACAAAATACTTAACCATGGATGTGTATGGGGGATTTCAATGAGATTATGTGGTCGCATGAGAAAACACGTCGATACCAAAAAAGAGAGACAAATGGAGGACTTTCACTTAGCTCTACAAGAGGCCAGGCCAAAGGATTTGGGGTAGCAGGGATAGTGGTTCACATGAAAACGAGGGAATAATCCCACAAACAACGTATGGGAGATACTTGATAGATGTGTTGCTAACCAAAAATTGGGAGGAAAGATTTCCACCACATGTAGTGAACCACCTAGTAGTGGTTGTCTTGGACCACAATCCTATTTGGGTCATTACCGCATCCATGAGATGTAACAGAATGGCCGAAGAAGAAAAGAATATTTCGATTTGAAAGATTTTGGGTTAAAGAACATCAGTGTGAAAAATAAAAAAATAAAACTGAAAGTTTGAAATTAAGCTTAGTGATAATCATTATCTACAAGATTTGGTGCTAATCCTCAACTTTGTGAAACGAATTGGAATTGATTTGAAATGATATCAGCTTTAACTTATAAATCCTTGCAATCAAATCAAAAGGCGACACGGCAAGTGATCAAAGAAAAATCACAAGAAAAAAGAAAGCACACAGTGATTCAAGCTGAAGTATAGAGAAAAACCAGAGGAGAAACGGGATGAAGCCAAGCTTATCCTACCCAGTAAACAATAGTCAATTCCTAATTAGATCACTATTAGCCAATTCCTAGCGATTCAACAACACAAGGGTCAGAAGCTACCACACCCAAAGCCACGTACAGAAAATAATCCTACCCCCAATGTTCAACCACCTTTAATTTTCCTAAACAACTAGACACTAAAACACAACCAACAAACAGTAGAGACAATAATCCACCCAACAAATCAAGCTGAAACCTCCACAATAGCCGCCCATTGCAGGAACCAAGACCTGCCACCACCATCAGTTTCTCGTTGGACAATCGCCCATCATCAATCAATCGCACCAACACAGGTTCAAGAAGAATGAATTTAAAGTAGAAACCAAAGGAGATAAAAACAGAAAAAAGAAGAATAAAACAAAGTGGAAGAAAAGATAAGTAAAGAAGAAACCCACTTTTAGTAGAGCATTGAAGGTTAACTTTTGGGAGATCTGAACGGTGAGGATGAAGAGCTTGATGAGGGAAACAATATACTAAAAGTTGGGGAAGATCAGACGGTGAAAAGGAACAAAGACAGTAGAAAAAAAAACTGCAACAATTAGCTTCATATCTACGCCTTTATGAAGCGATTTGTGATAAAACGAGCCCACATTTGAGACGAGGAAAGCAATAAGCAGTGACGGGAAAAATTTTGGCTTAATAGGGCGGTGGTGGAGTACGATTGTTAGCAGCGAAACTGTGAGCAACAACAACAACTAAAAATCATGTGTGAAAGAGAGAGTTTGGAGAATTTGAAGAGAGAGCAAAGGTGAGGTCTTAAGAAAAAAAAAAATAAACTCTGGCTTTTATCGCGAAGTAAAATCACATGGTTTTGGACATTATAAAGAATGGCAAGATCTGTGTGTTTTTTAAATGGGTGACCGGACTCCTAGCGCGACTCAAACTGGTAACTCGTTTCCTTGGCATTGTAGCTAAGCCAAGTTGAGCCGAGCCATTCGACTAGCCGCTCCAACTAGTTCATGTGCCTATAGCCAAGCCATGATACCAGCCAAACCGAGCCAATTTTTCTTTTTTTGGGAATTTTCTTTCATTTTTATTTATTTATGTATTTATTTTTTTCAATTTATTTATTTGTTTTTATTTTTGAAATAGCTTGCATGATTAGATTTTAGGAAAAATTAGAAGAAATAAATAAAATAAAACATTAATTTTTTTAAAATAAATAATAATTATCCAATGATGAAATTTTTAGAAATTGCAAATGATATATTTCTATAAAATTTCTAGGTGATAATTTTTTTTAAATTTGTCCCGTATGATGGAATAATTAGATATATTTTCAATAAAAAAATCAAAATAAAAATGATTAAACCTTTTTCCAACAATGGAGCCTCTTTAAGAAAACAAATAAAATTTTTGAATACTTTTGAAAAAATATTTTTAAAAATTTTTTCAAATTGATGGGAAAATCTTAAAAAGTTATTTTCAATATTTAAACATTAAAATAAAAACTATTAGAACCAAGATAATTGTTATGATAATTCAAAATTAAATGATACCATCTTAGGATAGTAGTTGTGAGAGTGTTATAACCTTTCCACATGTAATCGAACTGCCGAACCTAGTTTTGTTCAGAAGGTCAAAACCTACTTTTTAGGAACATTTAGTCAAACTTAAGAGTTCCTTAAAAGGATAGATTTATTAAGGAGTCAATCACCCCTAGATAAAAGATTGGTGGAGACTCATTTTGTTAAATTTAGCTATAGATTTACGAATCTATATGTTATGACAATGACATAAAGAATTCTTTATGGGCATGCATGGGAGAGTCAACGCACTTACCAAGGAGCTCTAAGTATTAAGCAACGCTCAACCCAATCCATTATTGAAAGACTAGGCAACTTAAGAGACGAATTGAACAAAGCAATTGAAATGGAAAAAGCTTTTTGGGCTCAACGCTCATGTATTGATTGGCTGCAAGAAACGGATCGAAGCACAACCCTTTTTCATGCAAAAGCGAGTCAATGCAAAAGATATAACATAATAAAAAGGTTACAGGATCAAAAAAGGGAATGGTGCAAAGAAGAGGGTGGGGTTTTGGAGATTGCCACTAAGTATTTGAAGCAACTATTTCAACCCTAAGGCCGTGGTAACATGGAAGATATTATGCAGGCAATGGAAAATCGAGTGTCCAATGATATGAATGATCCTCTAGTTGCAGAGTTCACAACTGAAAAGGTTCAAACAGTAATTAAACACATGCACCCTCTAAAAGCTCCTTAACCAGATGGTATGTTGGCATTATTTTTTCAGAAATATTGGCATGTTGTTGATAGTGATGTAATTAAGTTTAGTCTTTTTGTGCTTAACAAGGATAGGAATATAGGAATGGTTAATCACACCAATATTGTGTTAATACCCAAGCTAAAAGACCTTCGTAAGATCACTCAATTTAAACCCATTAGCCTTTGTAATGTAATGTATAAAAATTATTGCCAAAGTGCTTGCTAATAGGTTCGAGATTGTTTTACCACATTACATCAACGAAAACCAAAGTGCGTTTATCCTTGGTCACCTTATAACTGATAATGTGCTAGCAGCTTATGAGCTTCCATTCTTTAAAAAATAGGAAAAATGGGAAAACTGGTTACTTTGCTCTAAAATTAGATGAGTAAAGCATACAATTGGGTAGACTAGTCTTTCTTAAAGGAGATGGGGGGGAGATTAGGCTTTAAGTAGAGATGGATTGATCTTATAATGAATTGTGCAACAACTGTCTCCTGCTCTCTTATTGTCAATGGATGCACTGCTGACAAGTTTTAGCTAGGGAAGGCTCTCAGATAAGTTGATCCATTATCTCCATACCTATTCCTAATATGCAATGAAGCCCTGTCATTGATATTAGCTAAAGCTCAAAAAGAGGAATCAATTAAAGGAGTCTAAGCTAGCTGAAATGGCCCCAGGGTCACTTTTTCTTTATAGACGATAGCTTATTGTTTGCCAAGGTGACCTCAAGCAAAAGTGAGAGAATGAAAAGTATGTTACAAAAATGTCAAGAAGGCTCTGGACAGCTAATAATCTTTGACAAGTCAGCATTATATTTCAGCAAAAGCACGAGAGAACAACAAAGAAGAGCTCAAAGAAGTGTTAGGTGTACAAGCGACTATAATATCTTGGCTGCCTTCAATTGTGGGGAGGAACAAATCAAGAGCATTTCAAGATATAAAAGAAAGAATCAAGGCAAAGAAGGAAAGGTGGAGTAACAAGTGCCTTTAACAAAGGGAAATGAGATCTTCATTAAAGTGATTATACAATCCATCCTATCCTATGCTATGAACTGTTTCATGTTGCCAAAGAGTCTATGTATGGAAATAAATAATTAACAGGTATTGGTGGAAGAAAATGAACAAGCATAAAGGAATACATTAGCTGAAATGGAGGGAGTTTTGTCTTCCAAAAAATAAACAGCTAAGATTTAGATAAATGGAGGCCTTCAACAAAGCAGTGCTAACCAAGCAATATTGGCGAATCATTTCAACAAACAATACATTGGTGAAACAAATTTTGAAAGCACCGTGATTTCCCACAACATCTTTCATGAAAACAAACTTAGGGACAAATCCATCGCTAATATGAAAGAGTATAAGGAGGTCAATGAGTGTGCTGAAGAAGGGGTTCAAGTGGAGGGTCGATAATGGACTCAACATTCAAATTTGGGAGGACATTTGGATACCTCCAACTTGGCCGTTTAAAGTCCAATCTCAACGGAAAGATTTATACAAATTGGACCAACAGGAAGCACGTTGGATCCGAGAGCTAATTAGTCATTTGTTCACAGGACACAAAATGGAAGTCCTACCCAATACCAATCAGCTCCACTAGAAGGTCAGATGTTTTAGTGTGGCACTATAACAAATATGGGCACCTACTCTGTTAAAAGTGGGTACAAAATGTTGATGGAGGTAGAATAAGACGATGAACCTATGAATGACCAAAGGCGAAGGAAAATGTAGAAACTCTGGTGAGCTACAATCCAACCGACAGTTAAAATGCTTGTGTGAAATGCATGTAAAAAGATATTACCAACCAATGTGAACTTAAATAAAAAGAAGGTTGAAGTCAACACCACATGTCCTAGATGCGAGGAAATGGACAAGAATGTGATACATGCTGTTGTTCAATGTATGCATGCTGAAAGTGTGTGGTGACACTTAAATTTGTACAAGAATCTTAGAGGAACTTCAACAACACAGGGACAAGGTTTCAGCATGTAAGTGAACAATTGGATAAAGAACAAGTGGGGTTGTTTGTGGCAGCCATTTAGGGCATATGAGGGGAACAAAACAATGAGCTACATGGTGAACAAACAAAGACCACCCAAGCTACTACTCTTTTTATTAGACAATACAATGCTGAGTTCAATAATGCACAAGTCCTACGCTTCAGCCAACCTATGTCGTTCAAACATTGGTTAAGGCCAACAGAAATGACAGTAAACGTGATCTTTGATGGTGCATTTGCCAAACAAGACGGGAAAGGTAGAGCTAGGGTAGTTATCAACGACCATAACGGACACATTCTAGGTGCTGCAACAATCAAATTCATGCTATCAATGATACGTTCCAAGTTGAATCCAAAGCAGCTATCCTGTGATTGCAATTTGCACATGAAATGAGCTTTAAAAATATTGATCTTGAAGGTGACTGTCTTATAGTTGTAAGAAGTCTGAAGACGGCAACAATGGATCTTTCACCCATAGGCATGATTTTGAAGAAGCTAGAAGAAGAATGTCTTTGTTCCACTCTTGCAATATGTCGCACGTTTTATGCTCAAGGAATAGAGTAGCTTATAAACTTGCTCACTATAGTTTGCTACTAGCAAATGATGAGTTCCAGGTAAAAAAATTCCCTCTTGTTATAGCTGAGAGTTTACATGATATTGTATTCAATATTTGAGTAATGAATGAACATCTTTATTTCTCCAAAAAAAAAAAAAAGCATTGTTGGGGATAATGAAAAAAACCACTAAAATTTTGTTAAAAAAAAAAAGCTGAAAAAAAAAAACCCTAAAAAAATCTATATAACAATTATCATCGACAGAAGTCAAATTCAAAAACCCTAAAAGAATTATGATTTACATAGATATAAAACTCAAGAACCTTAAGACTATCCATAATCACATAATGAAAATAATCACAATACAGATAAATTTTTTAACAAATCACCAAATCTGGAAATTTTTTTTTTGAAAAAAATTTCTCCTAAAAATATAAAATTATGAAACTTTAGATCTTAGTTTTTTTAATTAAAAAAAAAAAGCCACAAACCAACACAAACCATCATTTAAAAAAAAACTTTACATCTAAGATTTTTATTAAAAAAACAATTTGAGATTTTCAATCTCTTTTCTTTCTCTTTGAATCTCCGAAATACCAAGAACACTAAAAAATAGGATATGATTAGTGAGATATTTTTGACTTTACATGAGTTTTTTTGGGTTTTTTGGGGCTCAATTCAACAAGAAAAAAGTGGCTTTAATAATTAAAACTCAAAAGAAAATTTTGATGGAAGAGAAAGTATGATGTACAAGGAAGGTTTTAAAATGGAGAAATGAGCATATGATGGGTTCAAGCACAGGGGGTGAGATCAAGATAAGTTAAAGAAAAGGTTTTTTTAGAAAGAAGAAAAGAGGTAGTAAAAAGATGGAAAATAATTGAAAAATTAATTAGGATTAGCGTTTTTAATATCAATTTAAGTGTTTAAAACGAGAATAAGTAGAAAAAAATGCAAGAAAAAAAGAAAAGGTGGGTTGAATTTACAAAACCAAGCCCAAAGTCATCTCATGTCAGTTTAAAATTGTTTTGAAGTTATTAAATTGGATTATCCCATTTAAAATTAAGGAACATAGCCCATTCATTATTTTGTTTCTATTTAGTTTTTATTTTTTGTGCAAAATTTAAGATTATAAAATTATTTTAAAAATAAAAATAAATAAGTTTTTAAGAAAAAAATTATTGTTGGCAAAAAAAGAAAATAACATTATGAATTAAATAATTTCTTAAAAATAAAGAATTATAAAAATTTTAAAAATAAAATTATTAATTTAATATTAAATTTTCAGTCATGTAATAAAATGTAAATGTTTAGTAACTAATGAAATGGATATCAAATTATTTATTGCACTTACATATATATATTTATATTATAATATAGTTTATGAACAAATGCTTTTAATATATTTAATTTTTATAACTAACAAAAATGATTATATTAATTAGTATATATTAAGATATACAAAAACTAAATATTTCTAAAAATAAAATTTATTGAAATAAAAAATTTTACTCTCACAATAAAAAAGGTAAAAATAAAATAAAAGTACTTTAAATTAAATATATTTAATTCATTATTTCTATTATTATTTATAAAAACTTTATTTTTATTATTATTTATAAAAATTTTTTGAATAAATTATTTATTTTTTACTTTTAATTCAAATAAAAAAAATTATAAATATTTGCAAAACAAATCCCTCATTTGGTGTGTTTCTCACTTATCTCCCAACCGTATATATAAACCCTTGATCTCCTTTTGCTGCTTCAACACACCAAAAAAGAGTTCACACACTCTTTTCTGTAAATGGTGGCCGAACTAAAGATAATTCAAACACTCAACTTCTTTTGTTCCATTAATCCTGCAGGATTCGGAACCAAAGTTTTACAAAGCTGAATTAATTTCAACTCTACAGCTTAGACCAAATTATTATGATTGCTCGATGGCATATCTTCCTTGATACTATGTTAGATTGGATAGTCAATTAACTTAAAAACTTAAGACTAATGGTAATAGGAAATAGCACAATTATTATATTTAACTTCTAAGTTCTTTTCTTAAAAAAAAAAAAAAAAACAAAACAAAAACTTTTGAAGTTCTAACACCTATAAAATTTGTTGGACGCTGTTGAATCTTGGACCTCCAAGAAATTTAACTTATGATAAGCTTATGCTTTTTTTCGCTGAGAAGATCATGCGCTTATATATTTTCTTGAAAACTAAGGAATTTGACTTCAAACTAGACGTTAGTCGCAGACTCGCTAATGCATGCACGATAAGAAAACCAAATGAAAGTCAACGAGGCAAACCTTGTGATTTTTCAAGACAGTCATGATTTCGTCGCGATCCCACAGTCTGCTGCGCATTCCAGGATCTACAAAGTTCTCATCTTGAACAATTTGTCTTCCCATGTCCCTGAGTTGATCATGCATCCACAAACCATTACCCTCAGTGAACTTAATCAAAGATTTTTCTTCCAGAGCTCTTATTGTTGTTTCAGCTTTAAAATCACATCCTTTCAGTACGTCAATTATGTCCTCTCTATTCATTCTCAAATTGACAAACAAGCAGGCTATATCAAGGAATATGCATTGATTTTCTCTATCTAGCCCATCAAAGCTTATCTTTAGCACATCCTGAAGCTCATTAGGACGAATATCTCTCAACTTCTCCAAAGCATCTTCCCATTCTACTACCCTCCTCTTATCCAACAAAAACGAACCAAAAACTTCTAGAGCCAAGGGTAAATTCGTAGTGAGAGATACAATTTTCTTGGACAATTCCAGAAACTCTTTTGTCGGTTTCTCTCTTCTAAGTGCATGATAACTGAAAAGTTCTAGTGCCTGGTCAAAATGCAACTCTCTGACCTCGTAAAATTGATTCACATATTGGTCATTTAAAACCCCTCTATTTCTTGTTGTAACAATGATTCGAATACTTCCATCATTTTGCCATTTGACTCTTGCACCTAGTGCTTTAAGTTGATTTTCTTCATCAACATCATCCAGGACTATTAGAACCTTTTTATCAAAAATAATCTTTTTGATTGTTGAGGCATTAGCATTAACATCATTTGCAGAAAGCACAACATTACTAGAGGAATTGGAAAGCTCACCAATAAGTTTGTGTTGGAGGGATGCTAAACCATCTTCTTGCTTTGACAGTTCTCTAACATTTGAGATGAAGCTTCGAAGCTCGAAGTGTCCGAAAATCTTATTATAGATGGCCTTAGCAAGGGTTGTCTTACCAATCCCGCCCATCCCATGAAGCCCCAGAACCTTAATGCCCTTGGATTTAACGTCTAACAAATTTATTAACTGTGACACCCGTGTATCCAATCCAACTGCATGGGTGGCCACTTTCACTGGTGTATTATTCACTTCTTTGAGAGCCTCTCTCAGAAGAACCCGAATCAGTTGCTCTTCATCACTGCCAACAAACACAATTGCACCGAATAAAGTCAGAAGAACAAAAGAATTTGCTCAATAATCAATATTTATATCAAACCTTTACTAATTCAATGAAAACTTGCATGCGAAACTTTGATCCCAAAGAGCCTGGAGGACTATAGATCAATTATTATTAATGAACCTTGTTCATCTGCTATTCTAGAGACTGGTGGAATTTCTACCGGGTTTTCAGTGAAAATTAATGCAGATACTTCCATGTTTGCAGGTTTAGATAATGTAGCTAGAGACCATGAAGGTAATATTTTGGTTAGTGCTACAACACCTGTACCACATATATATTGATGGCCTTTTATGTGCTGAGGTGAGAGCTATTATTGTTGAAGGGGATTCACTTAACACTATTAGGCAGATTAATGGTGAGATTTGTTTGTAGGATTGAGGTATAATGATAGACGATATTAATTAAGATTAAATCTCTTGATTTTTAGATTTTTCTTTCCACTTTGTGAGAAGGAAGGAGTGTGGTTTTTCATATTCTTCCTTCTACTTTATTTCTTATTTGGTAGCTAGATAAGTAAGAGTGTGATTTGCATTGTCAGTTAATGTGGGCGGATTCACTTTGGGATTTTGATTTGAACTCTAATATAATTTAAACTTTTTGGGTTTTTATATATATCAATACATATGCCTAGAGGCTTTCTTATGCTATATACATTGTGAATCGCATAATAGAATCTTATAAAAAAAGTTAATTTTAAATATATTTGTAGAATTTAGTATATTTGTTTTCAAAGATTTTAAAATTTTAAAATTAATATTTTTATAAGATATCATTACGTGGTTCACTTACTGTATATAATAGTATATCAAATATGTATCAACTCAATATTATTGTTTTTAATTTTATATTTTAAGCTAAAATACTAAAAAAAATGTTAAAACATTTTTTTATTTAATTAAGATTTTATTTAAATATAAACCATTAAAATTTGCTATTTTTCACATTAGTGTCTACATGACACATCTACAGCTACAATTAAAACTGCTTCTTTCTTATAATCAAAGGACAGATCATTTTTGTTTTAAAAAATAATTTTAAAGGTAATTTAGGAATTGGGTTTTTGTTATATATTAAAAGCATCTTAAAGAGATTAAATAAATTAAGTGAACGGATAGAGGGATATAGGAAACTTTTGGAGACTTGAATAAGAGAAAAAAAACAAAAAAAAGAAAGAAAAAATATAAGATTTTGTTTAATCTCATTCTTTATCTTTTATCCCCTTCAACCTTTGTTTAGTTGGTGAGAAAAATTTACACAAAAAAAAAGAGAGAAGACAATTTTTCGTCTATTTATATATATATATATATATATATATTTGCTTACTTTCTATCAAGGTTTTCAATTGAAGATCTAATAGTAAATTGCTAAACAACATGTTTTATTTATGAGTAAAATTTTTTTTATTTTTTTGTTTTTTTATTAATTTAGTTATTGAAGGGAGGAAAGTAATTGTTTTGGTAGTAGAGATAATAGATAGGAAAAATAGAAGGTATTGACATTATAAATTTCAAAGCTTTTCCTATAATTTTTATGGTGCTAATTAAAAAAAAAACCTTTGTATCATTATTGTTTTTTATTAACTATAATCTCATCATTGTTGTTATTAAGCTCTGCAAAATATTGGGTGAAAATTTGAATGTTTTCGAGTCATAACTATCTTTTTTTTTTTTTTCTTTTCTAGCTTTTGCATCACTACTTAACTCTTTTGTAAGTTTTGGTGATCACAAGTCCTAGAGATGGAAAACTCATTCATGGGGATAAATTTAATCTTTCTAGCTGAGATATTTAGTGTAGAGGTACTACTACATGTTGATTTTTGATAAATAAATTTGATCATAAATAACAATACTCCCATTTAATACATACTTTATTTCAATTTGATTAGAGATTGAAACAGATCCACATGGCTCTTAGAAAAAGGAAGAAAAAGAAAAGGGAGAGGTAAAAAGAAAGGAGGTTAGTAAATTGCTTTTATTATTTACTTTTTTCAGTTTAATTTTTTTCATGTTTTCATATAAAATTTATTTTATAACTTGATCATTTCAAATTATATATTCATTTTTATAAGTAAATAAAAAACATTCAATTTTATTTATGTTGTGATTATTTTATAGGTATAAACACAGGCTTCAATTGACTTTCCTAGCCATTTTTTAGACGATAACTTAGGTTTGGGTTTAATAGTAAGCTACTCACTTTCAATCAATTTTCTTTTTATCTCACTTGTGTAATTTGTTTGTGTTCCATTATGTATACTTAATTTCACATATAAATGCTATTGCTAATTATGAGTTTTTGCAGTTTGATTTGAATTTAATTTTTTTATTTTGCAAGTGAGAGATATGGATTTAATAAAATATTTGAAACTGACAATAACAGTTGTACAATAAAGATTGATTTTGGTGGATGCTAATAGAGGTATTGGCTATATCTATAGTGTGACCTTGACATTGATTATCTTCTTATTTCATGATTATAATGTGCTTTATTTCTTTTCCTTGAATCTTTTTGTTCATTTGCATATTAACTTTAATTTTATAGCAAAGTCTTGAGAAAGAATGTGTGAATGAATTTAGTGGACTATGAAATTAATGAAGGTAAACTATAAATAAGATTTTTATGTTGGATTTAAGTTATTGTAGGTGGTTTATATTGAAACATTGCATGTGTTTGTTTTTCTTTATTTTTTCCTCTTCTAGATTTGCTTAAAAATGTTGAGGTAAAGTTTTAGGCCTAAACAATATTAGTCTTTTTACTAGAAAAATTTTTTTAACTTGCAAATTATTATTTTTGTGTATTTTTGTTTATTATCTTTTAATTTCTTTAGTACTCCAATTGTTTTTTTAAGGTGCTAACTCATAATGATAATAACAAAAATGAGCTTCATTTGAATTTATCAAATAATTTTTACATATGAGTTAGAGTTTAATAACAAATCTTATTCATTCACTTTAGATAATATTAACTCCTAAATTTTGTTCTATGTGTGGTTTTTTTGGATTCTTGGTTTGGAGGTTGGTCTTTTATTTGTGGTGTCTATTTGTTTAAGAAGATTAAGGATAAAATAGAACTAAAAATTAAAAATTATAATGATCTTTGCATATGAGTTTGGATTGAGAAAACTTTGTTTTTGAGCTAGAACTAAAAATTAGAAGGACATGAACTCATTATGAGTATCCCTAGTGAGTGTTTCTCTGTGGGAGGATTTTGAATTCTTGTTTGGTACAAGGGTTAATGCCTCATGAACTTCTAATTATAGGTGGTCTTTGAGGTTTAGTAGTTTTTTAGTTTACGACAGTAGAAGAGGTTAGTGGTTTTAAAGAGTAGAACAATGGAAGACGAGTTGGAGGGTATGTGGAGACACCAGAGTTTAACAAAAGAGGAGAGAGATAGTATAATATCAGATAGCATGAACACTGATTACATGATGGAAGTGGAGAAAAACTAGTTGGTAGGGAAACTACTCAAAAAGCATACTTTCAACAAGGAAGCCATGAAAGAGACCCTGAAAGTGATATGGAGACTAACTAAAAAAGTGGATACTAGCGATCTGGAGGACAATTTGCTTTTGTTTAAATTTGCTACAATGGCAGATAAGAGAAGAGTCTTGAAGGTATCACCACGGTAGTTTGATAAACAATTGATTCTTTTTTCAAGAGTTCTTCAATGAGAAGTTAAGGTCAGAGGAATATTAGTTTAATACAGAACTATTCTAGTTTGTGTTTATGCTCTACCTCTTGGTATGGGCAATCATGAGAATGCGAATTGGTGAAAAAATTGGTAATCTAAAATCCGTTAATTTGACATTGAAGCAAGGTGGATGGTCAAGTTTTTTAAGAGTTAGGGTGGAAATTGATGTCGTAAAGCCATTATGCAGTGCAATGTTGCTAATGGCAACAAGCGAGAAGAAAGTAGTTTGGGGTAGAATTGCATATGAAAGGTTACCAACATTTTGTTATAATTGTGGTTTTCTAAGTCATGTTGACGATGAATGCGGAAGCCAAAAATTAGATAATGCAAACAATGAGAAGATCAAACAATATGGAGAATGGTTATCTGCATCACCTCTTAAGAACAGAGGCTTCGAGGGAAAAAAGAGCAATATTATCAACATGGAAAATGCTGGCAGTTCTAGATAGGTAAAAAGAGCAATGCCCCAAATAAAGCAATTGAGCACGGCGATGCAATCCAAGGTAGTTGATTATGGAGGTAACAAAAAATAAGGAATGTGAGCAAGGGAATAGGAAAGGAATGAATCAAAGAAGCAGATTTCTCGATGATAGTCAACTTGAATTTCAAAATATTCGGAAGGCTAATATTGTTGAGAGATCACAAGAGAACAGTGGTACAAAAGAGGTCGAGGTTACCCAAAATACCGATATATTAGGATGAATGAAGGGAATCATATGGCAGTCTCTTGCCCAAATCAGCCACGGCGTGATTCAAATCCAGGTGGCATTGAAGGGCTAAGCTTAGCTATCAAGTTGCCAACTCATTAGATTTTCAACATATTATTAAGTGGGCTGAAATCAAAAGGTGAGGAAGACCAAGGAAAGGTGGGAAAAAATGGGGTGCCAATAAAAAAGGGGCCAAACGTCTTAAAGTAGCAAACTATGGTAGATTTGAATAGGGAAGATGATCAAACAGAGTTCAAGGTACAAAATCGGGGGGATAAGGAAAAAGACAGACCCAAAAGACAAAATGGAAGAAGCTAGCACGTGTTAATATCAGACCACACAAGATGAAATGTGGAACAGGAAAAGAAAAAGAAGGGCATGAATTAACAAACATGGATATTGATACAATAGACAAGAAAAGTAAGGGTTATGATGACAATTATAGTGCGAGCACAACATTTCAAACGATGAAGATTGAAAGCCAGTTCCGCCAAGTGCCATGAGGTGCTTTGCCTGGAACTGCCGTGGGCTTGGGAACCCCCGTACAATTCCATCTCTTTA